TATGGATTATGGAAATAACGAAAATGCAGCCATCTTTTTATTTTTAATGCTTCCTGGTTTGCTTTAAATGTTGGTCAGTACAACTTTAAAATGTCATCATTTTATTTATCAATTTGAATTAAATGAAATTAGCCATGCTTCAATCCCAAATAAATAAGCAAAAAAAAAAATTTGTCTGTGTATATGAGTTTGTGTGTGCAGCAACCTTAGGGCCTGAACTCAGGTCCTGGGTTCAATCCATGAGCTTTTGTGCTCAAGATTGGTACTCTACCATCTGAGCTACATAGCTCTACTGGATTTGCTTGCATGTGTGTGTGGTTAGAGCTAAGTCATACAGACTTTCCTGCTCAGGGTGGCTTAGAACACAGAACCTCAGATCTCAGCTTCCTGAGTAGCTAGAATTACAAGCATTAGCCTCAATTACAGGGGTGAGACTCTAGAACCTGGCATACAGTTGCTGTTTGCCCAATACATCTTCCTGAGTCTCTCTACTTTCATTTTACTCAATTTAAAGTGTTTCCTAATGAAGACACATTGTTGGATTTTAAAAAATCCAGATCGATAGTATGTTTTTCACAGTTAAAATTTCATAATTATACATACCTTACTGTTGGCCATTTGTTTTTCATATCTATCTTATCTATCTATATCCATCCTTCCATCCATCCATCTATCAAGCTGGGAATTGAACTTAGGACCTTACTACTAGCAAAGTGTTCTAAGCTTTTTATATCCTTCCCCTCCTTTTCTTCCTGGTACACATATTAACATACTTTCATTTGCTAAATTGTCTATCATATATCTTTAATTTTCTGTCTACTTTTCTGTATTCATTTTTTTCTCTCTGTCCTCCAGATTATCCATTTTTCTTTCCATTTGTTCTTTCTCTCACTAATGATATTTTTATGTTTCCATTATATTTTTCAAGTTTCAGAATGCTGGTTCTTCTATAAAATTTATGGGATTCTGTGCTTGGTGAGTGAGACATTACAGTCTTACTGTCATAATAGCTACGCCAAAATCCTTGTTAAATGTGAACTCAAGCTTCTCAAAGTTATTTTTATTTTTGGCGGTAATGAGATTTGAACTGAAGGCATTTTCTGTGCTTCCATTCTTTCTTTGCTTTACTTATTTTTCCTATAGGATCTCCGTGTTTTGGAGTAAGTCTGCATCTGCTTCAGTGTGAGCCTCTGACATATAAGATGCAGCCTTGGAATTACAGACACCCATCTGAGAGCAGTGTTTTTGTCAGGGTGCCTGCTCCCCTCTCTGTGTTACACTGTGTGATGTATCATACCAGCTCTCATCTTGAACATTGGAAATGATATACATTGTCCTGTAACATGATCCAATTAAATTGGGAGGGTAATTTTTGGAGCAAGTCCTTGAGGATTTTTATGACTACCTGAAGGTTTATCTTAGCTGTCTTGGTCCTTAGTTCTCCCCATCAAACTATCTGCCTTTATTATTCTCAAAAGTCTCTCTGCATTTTAATTGTTTACCATCAAAATTTTAGTTTTTGCCAGGGGTTGAAGAGAGTGAGGGGTTGCAAGATTTGCTCACACCTCTGATCCTAGTTACTCAGCAGGCTGAAATCTGAGAATCATGGTTCAAAGGCAGCCTGGACCAAAAAAATGTTAGGATTGGAAGGCAGCATTTTAGTCCATTTCCAGCCACCTTTTGATGTCCTCAGGGATATGGCTATTAATGAGCCTTAGGATAAAAAGGAACACTTGGGGCCAGAGAGTGAGAAGGCATATATAGTTAAAGAGCAAGTAGAGTTCAAATAGTCCTCATTATACTGGCTGATTCAGAGGTGATGGGTCTTCTGGTGGCCTATTGTCTCAGGATTGGTCAGGTGAACCTACTTAAAATAAGAGCCTATAATGCCTGGCAGGTAAGCCAAGCTTTTCTGGATTCCAAGATGGCTGCCCAGTGACCACCAGTCAGTCACTGCATTCCCTACGCAGGGCGAGCCTATGGGACAGTCTGTCCCAAGGGTGAGGAAGAGCTATCAATTTACATTTGACCTTTAGGGAATGGTTTTACTGGTCTAGGAAGATCTTTTGTCTTAAACTATTTGTTGACCCATTTTAGAAATGAAGCCTGTCATTAATTCTTAGGAGAAGTGGAGTCTACAAAAAAGTATTTTATGACATTTTATGACCTCTCATAGCCCTAGAAAACTTAATTATGGAGATGCTGTGATTTTTTAATGTTTTTTTTATTGTGAAAATACTGTACAGAGGGGTTACAGTTACATGAGCAAGGTAATGAGTACATTTCTTATCAAGCATTACTGCCTCCTCCTTTGTTTCCCCTACCATCCCTTCCCTCCCACCTCAACAATTACACTCCACCCCTCCCTGCCTAAATTGTAAAGTTTGTTTTTCAATATAGTGTCTTCTACATCTCATTGTTGCAGTGGGTCAACCTGTATCCCTATTTACACAGTTTGTTTTTTCCCTTCCCCTCCCCAAATTATACCAACATCAAATACAGTGAAAACAGGGGAATACTGTGGGGGAGGGACATACAAAGCAACAAAAAAATCACATGGTACTTTATAAATATGTTAGAAACAATAGCAAGAAAGAAAAAAAACCTCTTGTGTCCCTATCTTGGGGTTCACTTCACTTCACTTCATCTTATCTGGCCATATGTATACAGCTTTTGACCTTTTCTGCTTGTCCCAGACATATACTACTTATTGCAAATAAGGGAAATCATGGGACCTATGTTTTGTTGGCCCTGGCTTATTTAGAATGGTTATAATCAAGAGCTCCAATAACAACAGATGCTGGAGGGGAGGTAGCCAGAAGGGAACCCTACTGCATTGTTGGTGGGAGTGTAAACTTGTTCAACCACTTTGGAAAGTAGTGGGGAGGTTCCTCAAAAGACTCCACATAGAGCTCTCCTATGACCCAGCATTCCCACTTTTGGGCATTTATCCAAATGATCACAAAGAAGACCATATTAAAATTACCAGCACAACTATATTTATTGCAGCATTATTTACCATAGCTAAGATATGGAACCAACCCATATGCCCCTCAGTAGATGAATGGATCAAGAAAATGTGGTATATATACACAATGGAATTCTATGCCTCCATCAGAAAGACATTGCCCCATTTGTTAAGAAATGGAAAGACTTGGACGCTGTGATTTTTATCCTTCACTTTAGGTTTCCTTGGTATTTACCATCACTCGGTGGTGTTTTCTTAGTGAAGCAGTTTCAAGGTTGCTGTATTCTATGTCTTAATTTTTAACTACATTACTTGCTTCTCATATGTCCAGATTAGCTTTCCTATGCCCTCTTTCCCTAATTCTACCTAACCAGATTCTACTTCTTTCTTTTTCTCTTCTCCTTTCTCTTTCTCTCCCTTCTCCCTCTCTCCTTCCATCTTCTCTCCCTCTCTGCCTTTCTGCCTCTCTCCTTTTCTCCCCCTCTCCCTCTCTCTCTTTTCCCTCCCTCCCTCCCCCTCTCTTTCTCTCTCTCTCTCCCTCTCTCTTCTCTTTTCTCCCTCATCTCCTCCCTCTCCTTTCTCCTTTCCCCTTTGAGGAAAAGAACTCTCAGTTCTCAGTAGTTACCTTATAGGGCTTACCTAGATGGAAGATGACAATAAAATTCTTTACTCAGTTTCTCAAATGATACTTATCATTGTTCCTGCAAATGTGGACTTCATTTTTGGATGAATTTCAGTTTCAATCCTCCACTCAGAAGAAATGTGCTATATATTTCTGTGCCTTCTTCACCTTACCCTCCCTGGATTTATTTGCTCATCCCAAATATTGAGATAATAGTACTTGTTTGTACATTAACCTGTAGAATGCAAGTGAAAAATACTTTTAAATTCTAAAAACTTAAAGTGGAGTCTTGCAATCACATCTTTAAATCAAAGTCAGAATGAATTGCATTGACTCAGGTTTTATTCTACCATAAATCTACTGAATATAAAATTTATCTTAGACATTTGTTACAATTCACTTTTTGTAAAATCCTTCATATTATCATGAAATCAGTATTATAAAACCAGCCAGGGTGTCACCTAGAAAATGATTGCTTGAAACAATTGTGTTGTGAAATTAAATGCTTGAAGGGAAACAATATTTTTAGCATATATCTAGAAGTATAAAAATTTATATATGCCTCTTTTGGGTTTTTTTCATAGTTTGTGGGTATTCTAGTAAGGTTTCATCTTCATATGGAAAAGATGATCTGATAATTTTGAAAGAATCCTATCTTGGACTTGGAGAAAGATAATCTTTCCTTTGGTCCAAACTAATGGTTATTTTCTTCTCAGAAGCTGTGTCAAAGTTTTAGTCAGCTTGTGTGTAAACAACTTGACGACAAAGAATTGCTGTAGTTGTAGAGTCTCTGGATTCCAGTTTCATTCCCCTTCAGTTTTTAGGGTATTTCTAGTTTAGAAAACATGTCATATCAGGAATTCCATTTCTTTTTGACAACAGACTTCACATGCTGCCCCATTTTGCAAGGAAGGAAACCAGAGACCAATAAGAGTATTGATCATAGCTGGGCACTGGTGGCTCACGCCTGTAATCCCAGCTACTCAGGAGGCTGAGATCTGAGGATCACGGTTCAAAGCCAGCGCAGGCAGGAAAGACTGTGAGACTCCTGTCTCCAATAAACTACCAGGAAACTGGAAGTGGCGCTGTAGCTCAAGTGGTAGAGCGCTTGCCTTGAGCTGAAGAGTGGAGGGACAGTGCCCAGGCCCAGAGTTCAAGCCCAGGACTGGCAAGCAAAAAGAAAAAAAAAAGTCAACTACACTTAGTTTTCTTAAGTATCCTCATCCTCATGTCAGCTTTGGCTCATTTTCTAATTGGTTTACATTACACATAATTTTTTTCTGTCTCATGAATCAAAAGAATTTCCACTCCTTTCTTTAGGGAGAAATGGGGAAATACCAAATTAAAATATGATTCTTTTAAATGCCTGCCTATTTACATGTATTTACTCATTGTTTATGCTCTTCCTAGAACATCCTGGCTTTAAATCCTCGAACACAAACTCATGCAACTCTGCATTCAACTGCAGCCAAGAAACTTGACAAAAAACACTGGAAAAGAAATCCTGATAAGGACTGCTTTGTGAGTATCAATAATCCACGCTTTCCTGCTGGAAATTATCTCTTCTTCTTAGTATAAGATAAGCATTTACTTACATTTACAAATACAATAACTACATGAATGATACAACTATAATTTCTTTTTTCTATTACTGGTATCTTATACTTGAGTAATTTCAAAACTGTGTTTAATTTTAATGCTTTAAATATCCCGTGAAACACTTAAAATTTTGAATAGATCTAGTTTTGTGCCCAAATTTTATTTCTGTAAAATATTTACAATTTTTTCTTAAAAAATTGGTTTCTTTAGTACAAGCCAGGCACTTATTTATAGCTCATTACCTATAATCCTAGCTCTTTAGGAGGGTACCACAAATGAAGGAAACCATGCATTCTTTGTTTCTCCGGGTCTGGCTTACTTCATTTAACATAATTTTTTCCAACTCTTTACATTTCTTTATGAATGGAAGGCCTTTTAAAAAATGTAACTAATTAATTAATTGTAAAGGTGGTGTACAGAAGAGTTACAGTTACATAAGTAAGATAATAAGTGCATTTCTTTTCAAATAGTGTTACCCTCTCCCTCTTTTTCTCCCACTTTCCCTCCCCCCAGACTCCCTTTCCCCCTAAGTTGTAAAGTTCATTTCCAGTGTCTAGTGAGTATCATTATTGCATTGATTCACTCTTTGTCCCATCATTTAAGTGGTCCCCCTTCCCTTCCCCAATCAGATAGAACTTATACACAAGACAAGGGACACTGAAATCCAAGACAATGACCACAGAGAATAAATCAGAGGGAAAAAAAAAGAAAGAAAAAAGAAGAAATAACTTCAAACAGATCACTAAAAAATAAAATCTCAAACCAAAAGAGATCCTCTTGTTTCCATATCTTGGAGTTGATTTCAAGTAGCATAATTTATATGGTCATATGTGTATAGCTATTGAGCTATTGTGATCCTCTGCTAGGACTGTCCTAGACATATGCTAATTATTATAAATGGGGGAAACCATGGGACCTATGTTTCTTTGGGGCTGGCTTACTTCACTTAATATGATTTTCTCCAAGTCTTTCCATTTCCTTACATATTGGGCAATGTCATTCTTTTGGATGGAAGCATAGAATTCCACTGCAGATTTCTTTGTGTGTTGTGTCATTTTTTTGTTCTTAGTATATATTTTTTGTTCTTAGTATGTATTTTTATACTGTACAGATGGGTTACAGTTATATGAGATTTTTATACTGTACAGATGGGTTACAGTTATATGAGCAAGGTAATGAGTCCATTTCCTATTGAGTATTATTACCCCCTCCTTTATTTTTCCTCTACTGTCCCTTTCCTCCCCAGCTCCCCAACTCCTCTCTCCCTTCTACCCCCTTGCAAAATTGTAAATTTTTTTTCAACATACCTATACCACATCTTCTTGATCCAACAAATGGAAGGTCTGTGGGAAAAAAGGTGTAATTTTCAAGCTTACCTCTTAAAAAACTATTGTTAGTCTCTTGTTTTAAGATCTGAGACCTGTAATCCAGAGGACTATGATTTTGGCTCATTAAATATTTGTTGGGAAAGTGTGAATGACTAAATGAATGAATTTCTCCTTTTACTTCTTTAAGACATAAAGATTATGTTCTTGCTAGGCGCCGGTGGCTCAAGCCTGTAATCCTAGCTACTCAGGAGGCTGAGATCTGAGGATCACAGTTCAAAGCCGGCTGGGGCAGGAAAGTATAGGAGACTCTTATCTCCAATTAACCACTAGAAAACCGGAAGTGGTGCTGTGGCTCAAGTGGTACAGCACTAGCCTTGAGTTGAAGAGCTGAATGACAGTGCCCAGGCCCAGAGTTCAAGCACCATAACAGACAAAAAAAAAAAAAGGATTATGTGTGGTGTGTGACAGTGACAATCTTTGTGTATCTTTGAGTATTGTCTGTTCTTTTCACCATGACTGAAGGGGATGGTTCAGGTTTGTTTCTTCAGTCTCCTGATGATAATGGCTAGACTGAAACACTGTTAAACTATTTACTGAAACTCATTAGAATTACTTAGTGCTGTAGGAAGACCTAGAATTCTGATCAGCTAGCATATGCTTTCCAGAGTATCACTTTACTTCCTCACAAAGGACAAATAAAATTATAGATAAATGGGAATAAAGGAAAGTATGGGTTGTAATAATTAATTGTTAGGTTTCTATAGACAGATGTACATGTTCAGACAAGTTCCTGGCCTCCAAATGAAAAATTCTGATTTATCTATTTTGATTTTGATCCATTTTTGGAGTATTTTTGCCTTAATTTTGCAGTGTTGTGCTTTCTTTCCATTCAGATAAGCCTGACTTACAGGTCTTTGCATGACAATGTCAGGAGTGAGGATTGTCAGGGTCTTTGAAATGCCAGAGTCCTCCTTGATTCCCTGGGTGCCTTGCTTTCTGCAGTCTTTCATTGCTTTGGCGGTTCAAATTCCACACTTCAAGTTCTATATTTAATGGGCCCCAAAGATGAATAAAATCTATAGAATTGGTCATCTAAATTTGTTTTTAATAAATAAATTTGGTTTTAATAAATAATTATAGGCTTCTTAGAATATATGCATGTTTTTGTGCCATAGAACTTCCCTAAGAATGGCAACTTGAGAATTTTTGCCCAGGAATTTCTTCACTTGGCAGTTAGATATCATTCTTGGATTAATTGGAAATTCTGAATTCAGTAGGGGATTTACACTGGCAAATGTGTTTATACTGGTTAATGAAGCACGAAGCAGTTATTTCCAGTATCTTTTAAGCAGGTGTTCCATAACTGCTGTTTATTTTTGCCATTTTGAAAAATGTTGAACTGCCCTAATTACATAAATATTCTACACTCATTTTCCATGAGCAATTTTTGAAGACCAGAAAACATTATGAATCAGAAAATTTATCCTGGGTGAAAATGAAAAGGAAATGCAGTTAAGTGTACTGAATTATTAGATCAGTTTTTAAGAATTTTTAGCAAATTGGTTTGAATACATGACGCATAGTAGGTACTAGTGTTTAAGAAAAAGGAACAAAACATACTGTATATTTAAAATTTGTAACCTGCAGTCTTATTTCTGAGTGTTTTTTTAATTATTTTTGAACATTCACTTTCCTCCTTTTTCTTTTGTTTATGTGGTACTGAAGAATTGAACCTAGGGCCTTATGTATGCTAGGAAGCACTCTACCATTAAGCCACGTTCCCAGCCCCTGAGTACTTTTACTTAGCCTTTGGAATCAACTTTGAGGAAGTTTTCTATTTCCAGTGATAGATGAAGGGACTCCCCAAACCATTCCACCACAAAATGTTGGAACTAGAGATTGAACCCATGCAATCTTGCAGAACATGTCTTTAAGTAGAATGATTTGCATAAGGCCATTAAAAAAAAACAAACCACGGATTTTTTTTTTTTTACAGACATTAAAAATGACTTGGTAACAAAGAAAATTTGGGTGTTCCATTCTGTGCACAGGATAAAACATTCATGGCTTATCTGCAGTAGGCAGAGCACTGTGCTATTCTTCCTCTGTTGGAATAAACTCAAATGTGATCCAGACCTTACTAAGAAGTTCTCACTTCCTTTGAAGTGAGAATGGTACCTTCCCAAGGAAGAACATGACAGGAATTTCAGTTATCAATGTGAGTCAGAGCTGTTTTTGAATGAGCCATTCTGGCTTTCGATGTGGAAGATGAGCTATAAGAGTAAGATAGGAGGTGAGAGTAAGATAGGTTGGTGTAAAACATTAGAAGGCACATGACAAAGACCAGGGGAAGGAAGTGTGTAGGAGAGAGAGTAGCATGGATATATACAGGAAGGAAAATATGTCTTGGGAGTTCAATTTGTATGCCCATTTTGTTGTTTGAAGTGTAAAACAGGAAGTCACAAATGAGACTGAGATTGTTTGAAACTCTTGTCTATGCATCATTTGGTTAGATATTAAATTTATAACTCAGTACAGGGCCTAAGATGAACACCAGCATATGTAGGGGTAATTAAAAGCCCATAGGTAGAATTTCCTTGGAAGTATGTGTGGGGAATGATAAGTATGTGGAGAGCTTTGGCATTAGGGTTGAATGAGGGCTAGGCTAGGGAGACAAAGGCCTCAGTTACAAAATGTAAGAGGCACTTGGCACCTGTGGCTCACACCTGTAATCCTAGCTATGCAGGAGGCTGAGATCTGAAGATTATGGTTCAACGCCAGCCCAAGTCTATGAGACTTACAATAAACCACTAGAAAACCGGAAGTGCTGCTGTGGCTCAAGTGGTAGAAAGCTCACCTTGAGCTGAAGAGCTGAGGGACAGCACCCAAGCCCAGAGTTCAAGTCCCATGACTCTCTCTCTCTCTCTCTTTCTCACACACACACACACACACACACACACAGTAAGAGGCTATCAAAGAAGGTCACTAATCAAGCTAAATAACTGAGAAAGGAGAAGAAAATAAAACATGTTGCCTCAGGCCCTGAGACTTAGACTCAGCCTGGCACTGTACCCAACTGGAATGAGCAGGCAAAGATGACAAATGAAGTCTCATAGGAGGTGAGAGAAGAACACAGTTTGAGGGTATCTGCCAAGAATGAGAGGTTGAGGGGTTGGGAAGGTGGCTCAGTGGTAGAGTGCTTGCCTTGCATGCATGAGGCCCAGGGTTCGATTCCTTAGCACCACATAAGCAGAAAAGCCAGAAGTGGTGCTGTGGCTCAAGTGGTAGAACACTAGCCTTGAGCTGAGGAGCTCAAGGACAGCGCCCAGGCCCAGAGTTCAAGCCCCAGGACTGACCAAAAACAACAACAAAAACAACAAAATGTTTCTACCCCCCTCTTGTGTTGCAAATGTAATTAATTTTTTTTTTTTTTTGCTTTTTATGCTTTTGGAAATTATCCTGAAGATAGTTCCTTGTCTTCTGGGTCCAATTTTTTCCTTCTCAAGTTTACTTGACTAACACAGTCATTTACTTTGCTTAGCTAGCCAGCTACTTGGCTCTGTTAAAGTCAATATAGAATGCAGGTCCCAGGAT